TGGATTGATTGATTACCGCTTTAAGCCTAGTAGTTACCTATAGGAGTTTAAGCCCTACCTAGATAGGTAAGTGGGTCTAGGAGAGTGACCGGATTGAATTGATTGTTGCGGAGTCTAGTAAATGGGCCAGCAGCGAGCCGAGTATTTGTCGTCAGCGGCCATGACTCGAAGACCTGCAAGGCTATCACGAAACAACTAAGTCATGATATTATGATGCATTGCTTCAGAGCAGGGGATCTAGCTTACACGCTAGCCAGCCGACGAAGTAAACTGCCGTGTCGTTTAGCGCTCCGCGCAGACAATCTCGACCAGCTAGTTGCGAAACTAGAGGCCGTTAAAAGCGAACCAACTAGGGCGGCGTCGTCGCCCATAAATATTGGGTTTGTATTTACTGGACAAGGCGCGCAGTGGTATGCAATGGGCAGGGAGCTCATTGAAAGATATGCAGTATTCAGGAAAGCGCTTGAGAAGGCTGACAACTGCATCTCTAGCCTAGGTTCAGACTGGTCAATTATCGGCAAGTAACCTTCTATTGGCGTTCGATGTTAGGCTAACTTGAAGTGAAGATAAGCTCTTGAAAGACGACCTTAACTCTCAGGTAGACAAGGCTGAGATAAGCATGCCGCTTTGCTGCGCTCTGCAGATTGCACTCGTCTGTCTCTTGCGCTCTTGGAACGTTCATCCTACTGCAGTAGTCGGCCATTCCAGTGGCGAAAGTGCTGCTGCATTTGCTGCTGGTGCCCTAGACATGCGATCGGCCATCGCCGTGCAATACTATCGTGGCTTGCTCACCGGAAGACTGGCGGGTACTCGGTCGACCAAAGGAAGCATGATGGCTGCAGGTCTCAGCTTGGAAGATGCTGAGCGATACCTTTCCAAAGTTACTTCTGGTAAAGCCGTGGTTGGGTGCCATAACTCGCCATTGTCGGTAACCTTATCGGGAGATGCAGATGCCATCGATGAGCTAGAGATACTGTTGAAAGTCGATGGTGTCTTTACTCGCAAGCTCAACGTCCCGACCGCCTTTCACAGTCACCATATGAGTCACGACTAGACTCCGCAACAATCAATTCAATCCGGTCACTCTCCTAGACCCACTTACCTATCTAGGTAGGGCTTAAACTCCTATAGGTAACTACTAGGCTTAAAGCGGTAATCAATCAATCCAATCTGAACCTTCTAGGACCCACTTAATTGATTGTTGCGGACTGTGTTCAAGACTGCGTCGGCATTTGGTGGCACCACCCCTGTAGCTTCAAAGGACTTCAGGATGTTCTTAGAGGTAAAGGAGGTGATCCAGGCAGGCCAGAAAAGAGGGAAAAAGTCTCCTTTCTTGACAGGAGTGAGTCCTTGACTTCGATGGAGATGGTTGGTAAGTTCGGACGAGTACGCACTAGAAATTGGCTTAAACATCACCACATCTAATGGCTGAAGACTGTGGGTTGAATGGGGGGGGGGAAGACGATAAGGTGAATCTTGTGTTGGTCACAATGTTCAATAAAATCCATAGTCAGATGAGATCCATGGCCATCAAGGATGAGGAGGCGGTAACTCGAGCGCGCTTTCTTCCTCGTGCTTCTGTCGAACACCTGTTCAAGCCAAGCTAATCCTAAATTATCGTTGCTCCATCCAGAGGGTGATGTAGCAACAAAAACATTGTGTTTGTTGACCTCTACATCCTCTACCCAGCCACTTCGAAGTGCTCCTTTGCCTTGGTAGATGATCGCGGGAGGAATCTTTGTCCCATCAGCACAGATACAAGCTAGGAGCGTTGTCCATTCTCTAGAACCATCTTGCAGTGCTTTTGTAACCTCCTTACGCTCATATAATCGTTTAGAAAAGATTCGTTTAGAGCGAGAGGTGATGCCGACGAGAAAGCCCTTCTCATCCATATTGTAAATGTGGCGAGCGTCCACATTGTACTCCTTTACTTTAGAATAATGGGGGTCAAAGTAGAGCCTGTATTTAGCCTCACTGTCGGCTTAGTGACGGTCTCCGTCCATCCCGGTGGTCCATTTGGATGTAAGATGAGTTTGGTTTCGCTGAAGAAATCGGGAAACCCAGCGATCTGAACACTTCTCTTTCGCAACTGCACCCGCGAAATTTCGCACCATCTCTCTCGTAGAAGGTAGTCCTCGCTTTGTTAAAGCCTCTTTATATTTTACAAGCTCCTGCTCTTGTTGTGGGCTGAGTTTCTGGCGTTTCTGTGCACCTCCTGCATTTGAGTGTGTTATCCTCTTGTGCCTCCGCGCCAGCGTCGTGCGACTAACACTGAACCGTGTCGCAACTTCGCGGTACGAGAAAGATGCGCCATCTTCACGCGATTCAGTATCTTCAATTGCTTCCTAAATCGGGTTCATATTGGTGGAGTTCTGTCGTGTTGAATGTGGGTGTATGATATTTGTTTGGGTACGGGGTGGCTCAACAACAGCTTCTTCCCACTTCTACCGTATCTAGCAGTTCCAATGTGTTCATGCATTCGTAGCGAGCATGGACTTCCAGCCGTCCCCCGTTCCTGTGGACTTTGCGCGAAGCCCCCGCTGCAGCAAGTACAAGGACCTCCGGAACCGTATCTTCGCCAACGTATCCGGACGAAACAGCCTCAGGACCATCCTGAGCACGCCACAGCTAGCCACCAAAGTCATCGAGTATATGGAACAGACGCAGATCCTTGGGCAAGTAGGGATCGGAGATGCGCAGACGACGCCGAGCGCTGGGGGGAGACTTTAGGTACAGCGGATGCGACAGACAAGGCGGAGCGCCTCTACGAGCCTAGAAGTACAGCATACAGTCAGTAGAACCGCTATTTAGATGGGCCGGACAAGCATATGTAGATAGTGGTTGATGGAAAACGGCAGGCTTTCGGGGACAGATAGTCCCGTTCGAGGGATGGAGTGGGGCGGTGCGGACGTTGATCCGCACCGCGTCCGCTGTCTGCCACGCCTGTCACTCCGGGCATAGCTGCGCAGTACGCGGCTGAAACCGAGTAGGAATGAATCCAATCCAATCCAATCCAATCTAGCTTCTATCTACGACTATGTACATTTCGTCTCTAGAAGTGACGTGTTTGCCTGTGTTTGCCTGTGTTTGTGTTCCTTAAATTGTCTTCCTGTGTGTATGCCGTACTCGAAGCCTCATATGTGTAACGTTGTTTCACGGCTCGTAGAGGCACGTTTGCCTCATGCTTTGCGACCGCAATGCCTTCAGTCTCTCCCTAGCGTTCAGCTGTCGTGTGTGCTAGCTTGCCCTAGGGTCTGCAATGTGTTCTCCAAACTCCGATATTCTTCAGTGTTGTGATGCCGTCCACTAGGTTCCTATGCGACTGTGTTGTATGGTGTGACCTGCCACCAGGCGCTGCGGCAGCAGCATTTCGTCGTAACGCGGCTCCACAACAGTGATGCTCCGCTCGTGCGTTGCCGTCGAGCCTACTGAGCAGGAGAGCTCTCGCGCGAATCTCCTCAGACCTTGTCGGGTGTGTCGAAGGGGCACCACTCTTTCGACACTGGGTGGGGTGACAGTGGACGAGGTTGTCTGATGATCTGTAAGTATGTGGTGGCACCGATGGTAGCATGGCGGGTGTCTGTGAGGTGATTCGCGTGGAAAGTGATGCTGTTCAGCCCGAGGGTGCGTCGATGTGGGACGTTGCAGACATTGTCCGGTAGGCTTCCTGGTCAGCCCATCAGTGACTGTATTGTGTATGTTGTGACCATTATGCTTAGAGGGGTGTCTAGGCTCCGTCGTCGCGTCTTGCTGTGTCAGGCATGTGGCTGACGTGGTCTAACTTCTTTGGGTGCCGCGGAAAAACCCCTGAGTGGAGAAATAAGTTATTGCGACTGGTAACCACATCAATCCACAAACGCAAAGAGACCCGCCCGTCACGTACCAGTTGTTCGACAATGGCCTTTAGAATGAGCAAGCGCAAGGTTAGATGAACTAGGTATTAATGTTGTAGTACCCCAGCTAACAACGGAGCCGAGCAGGCTGAAGATAGCAACTCTACCTCGAACTCAGCGCGCAATGTCCGACCCCGATCTGAGGGCAGCTTCCCACTTCCAAGCCCGCTTGTACTTCCTGAGACCTGTCAGTATCAACTGAAAGTACTCGCGAATATCCCAGAAAACCTGCCCTTCTTTACAATGACAGCTCTGACGATCGCCAAATCTTGTGCACTCGAGTCCCAAGCGACACCATATCTAGTCAGTACACTCGTAGAGGCATTAAGGGATGAGGGTGCAGACGAAAAGAAAGTGGATACAGCGAGGGCAATATGGGAAAATAGTAGCAATTTATGCAAGGCAAAAGAGATTGGAGCAATGCTGGGTACAGTCGATATTCTGCAAAAAGGGCTCTACTTCCTAATTGAAGGGGCCAAGGAATGTCCCTCATCCCAAATTACAGCGCAATTACAACGCCGTCTCAATGCTGCCATAGCTGAGTGCTTAGCTAGCGAAGACGATGAAATACGTGTTGAGAAAGCTGTTAGCGAGTCAGCAATACCAACCAATCTCGAGGGCAGCCAAGGAGCTTCTAGATCCATTGACAAGGGTCAGAAACAGTCCAGCGAGGCTCCGAAGCTTGTTCCAAACTATTTAAGCTACAACGACGACTCTTCTGCGAGCCACATTGATGGCCTCCAAAGTCGAGCATCAAATGAAGACAAGAGGGGGAGTGTGGCGAGAGAAGCCACTAGTGCTAATCTAGACACTATTGACCAGCTTATTTCGGACGAGGCAAACGCAGCTAAAGCTCGACCCTCAACTGCTCCCTACTGGGGAAAACAGCAAGATGGTGGAAATTTTGACTCACAGTCAAAGGCCGATATCCTGGTATTACTGGAAGCTGGTCTCGGTGGCCCTGTAGCGCCTTCTGCTACTGATTGGCTGCGACAGGAGAGCAGCAACGCACTGGATACTGAAGTTTCCTCGTCTAAGGCGCTTCCTTCCGGGTCCTCAAACAAGCAACCTGCAGATAGAGCAAAGGACTTGCTAACTCCAAGCAACACTTCAAAGTCCCTTAAGGCGGTCCCGTCTATTAATGGCGCACCTCCCATCAGGGAAGCAAGAATGCCGTCTATCGATATGGAATACCATGAGACTCTAAAACGAGAGCCACAAGTCAAAACGGAATCTACGTGTTTGGATTCTGATCGCGTCTTCTCCGATCAAGCTGGCCTAAACTTAGCGTATGGCACAGCTTCTACTGGAAATGCCGGATACAAGCTCGTAACAAAAGGCCACACGCAATCGAAACGGCGCTTACCGGACCGTCCGCTATCTAAACGCGTATCGTCCGAAAACATACATGACAAGGTATGTAGGTATCGTCTCCATCTTTGGGACGGTTCTTACAGACGTATTGTTATTACTGCGATATATGACTGACTCGATGCAGGATCCAACCCAGTCGACCCCGGACTGCTTGACCTGTTTCTTTTGGTTCTCCCGCGGCTTCTGTGAAAGGGGAGATCGTTGCAAATTCCGCCACCAATTACAGGACTATGTCGCGAGCTGCCCAAAAAGTGGCGGCATGCCTATAAAGGTCATTCCCATGAGTACTATGGAGGAGACAAGGAAAGCCACGCTTGCCAGTGATCCAAGCCACGTGAGCGTACGTGACAGGCGAAACGATCCGAAGTCAAATTTTGACCCTGCACTCACGGATACACCTATCTTAGATTTGTTGCTCGATGACTGTATTCCTATTGAGCCTGGGTCAGCTTCTAGAGTCATCTCATCAATTATCTCTAATATAAGGGCGAGGAAGGACCGCTCTCAAGGTGTAAGTGCACTTGCAATTTTGGCAGCTCACACCTGCTAATATACTCAGGACTTCGTCACGGATTTGTACGATTACAAAGGCAGGCCTTCTAACTTTGATCTTTATCGCCATTCTGGACTGCCAAGCAAGCTGGGAGGTGCGATGAGCAAAGTCTCTTACAATCCTGATCATGCTCGCAGAAGGCTCGATGAGATACTAAGACCGTTTGTGGAAGCGAACAAAAACATGTTTCCGGACTTGCCAGAGAGGACATTCAAGAAACAGCGTGAAGAAGGCGGAAGACCGCAGGCGAATTGGCCGTAGAAGATCTCTACCGAGAAGTTTTGACGCCCTGCAATAAAATAAGTTTCGCAGTTGCGGATCTAAACGGTTGATTTGGCCGGAGATGCGTTTTTATTGTTGCGATAAATGTAAATTTTAGATCTTGTAGTTTGTGTTGGTAGGCCTTGTACGATCGTACGGGTGAATAACAACAACGAGGTTCTTCTGGTGACTGGTATTGGTATTGATCTTCTACGAACATAGCTGCTACGAAGGTACACCTAAGCTCTGCGCAAGGTGGGCCGAAGTCGGGCCGAAGTGTCAAGCAGCCGACGTCTCTACCGATACTCACGATTCGACAGTTTGTCTAATTATTAGCAGCAATGTGCACTATTGATTTCTAGCCAGTCCCAGGCCCTCGGTACACTTCAAGATTGAACTATGTCTGGACAAGGAGAGATAAGCCCTGTCGTCTGGAAGCCTGCCTGGATGTTCTGCTGTGTGAGTACAGTCAGCCGGATTTGTGTATAAATCGTGAGGAGGTCTACCTTGTCAACCTGGTTGTGCACTACAACCAGTGAATGCGCCATCATACTTGCCACCGAACAAGCCAAGCTGAGCCATACAAATTTGTTAGCAAGCCAAGCCAGAGGTCATTGTTGGCTTGGTTGGCTTGATCGGCTTGACGCTATATACTAGGCAACCTGTTTTCATGTTAGCGATACTTTTTAGTGTTGAGTTTTGGATTTTCAACCTTAGTCAGCACCAAAACTGATCTAACACCTCGCCTCGCCCGCCTTAACGCGTCAACAACGCGTTAACAACGCGTCTAGCAATCCTATATATGTATCATTTTTATTGGAACAAGGTCCCTCTAGTAGTATGACTACTATGGATAACCGAGTGGGAGGAGGGATAAGGCGGGGTGGCTGCAACGTATTGTATTGACTATCGTGTTGAGTGTCTCTAGGACTTTTGCTGTTGTGGTGGGTGCTATTGCCCACCGGGCAGTGCCTGCCACACCAGCACATCACGTGACTCTCAATCACCTTCTACCCTGGACTGAACCCAGATATTCTCAACAATTTTTAGTGTTACAGTCTTTTTTCTTTGCCTCTGCGATGAAGCGCGCGCATAAATCCCACGCGGCTCTTAGCCGTAAACGCGTTAAAACAAGCCTAGCTACTAAGGCAGCCGTTACCTCCCAATCCGCTGTATCGTCGTCAACCTTTGAGTCGCAGTTTCGAGACTCATAACCTAAATCCACGATCGTTGCGCCCACCGTTAATAGCAGCCAAGCCGCTACAGAAGCCTTAGTAGATAACGATAGAGCTAAATTAGATACGAGTCTGGACGCCCGCTTGGAGGACGACTATACTGGGTTAGACTGGGCGCGTATCCCAAAGTATATGGTACTGTTAGATCCGCCGTCAAATCGCAGAAGTTGGGTGTTTGATTACGGCTATCGTGTTGCTCTCCGCCGCAATCCTAGCCAGATATATTGGGTCTGTCATGATTGCTATCGACGCAAGAAGGTCGACATTAATAGCAGAGGAGTGTACCTTGTTACAGACGCTGTATCCGCAGCAGCTCGTCACCTTAAAACCCACTCAGTCTGGGCAGCTGGCAAGCAACCAGAACTAGCTAAATTATCGCGTCTCCGCTAGGTAATCGTTAACGGTAAACTTAGCCTCACTTAGGAGCTCGCCAACCACCTATCGGGCTTTAATATCTATGCTTTTCGAGCTGCTGCTGTTACATAGCTTCTTGAAAACAATTACCTACTCCGCGAGCTTGAAACACCAGCTTTTCGCCTCATGCTTGAGGCTGCCAATCCCGACGCAGCCCGCGCGATCTGGACGTCGCGGACAAGCGTTGCGCGATACGTTTTCCGGGTATACGACCACCTTAAGCCGCGGATTATTATGGCTTTGTCGCAGTCGCTAAGCAAGATACATATAAGCTTTGACTCGTGGACGACAAAAGGTAGCAAGCGCGGCTTTCTCGGCGTTGTCGCCCACTTTGTAAATACGGACGGCAAGCTTGTTGATCTGCCTATTGCGCTGCCTCAGTTAACAGGCGCTCACAGCGGTGCAAATGTCACAGTGAATGCAGTCAATTAAAGTGTAACCGCGCGAGGCAGTAATCAGAGTATATTGTATATGTTGTAGTATTGTGTCTGCTCGCCTTTTTACGAAGGCAGCAGCAGGGTCTGTTTACATGACGTATCTATAATCCAGCTGAAGTAAGAGGTGCTCAATAAAGTGAGGAAGCAGCACCAGACCACCAACACGTGATCTGCTTCTCCTCATAACCGTCACATATATGCTAGCGCTAAGTGGAGTTTTTGTTGTATATATTTATGTTAATTAGTAAATAGATCTAGTATTTCACGCTGCTGATAGAGGCAACTAATGGCAAAGGGCATTGGTTGTCGAAACCCGCCTCTGCACAGCGCTAGTACCTGTCAGGTAGGTATTCTAGAGAACGACCGTACGCTGTGAACAAACGATGTGCAAGGACCGGAAACAGATTTCGCTCAGTACTGTATCTGGCTTTGCTACTGCGCGGTAGGTCCAAACTCAGCGCTCGGATATGCCACAGAACAGAATCCAACGTGGCCCTCATGTCATGTCTACGCCTGCCAAATGTGCTGTGTGGTTGGACTCGAGCTATATTGATCGGCCAAGTGGACTCTTGCAAGAGGGAGTTCTGTATGTGCGGCTCCACAGATTCGGTAGGCAAAACAATATCTTGTACCAACCTAACACAATCTTGGATTACTGAGCTGTCTCTGCGGCCGCCAGAGCGTCTTTTTATTCGCGTTGGCGCTGCAAGACAGTCAGAATACCGGAAAAGATAGATTTCCAGTGGAACCGTTTCAACGTATGATTCATGTTTGTACCGTAGTGCGCTACAAATCGACTTGGCATGTTGCACAAATGTGTGCTTCTTCCCAAAGCGGCTGTGGATACGATCTGCTGCGGGCGTGAGCCGCCCAGTGACAACAACACCCGAGGACTAGTCGAACATGACACTGTCCACGAAGTCGGTGGATTCATCCACCGCCGCTCTATCGAGAATTAGCGAGTTGGGTCCTTTAGGCTCCATTCGGAGCCTTGCGCCCGATACCGAAGAGACGGGCCAGTAGGTCATCTCGACATAACCCCACGCTGGGGTGAGCGCAATTTCTAGTAGTGTGATTAGGGCAGGGCTGTCCGGCGCGCCTAAAATTTCGAACAGCCGATCTGCATCATCACCATCACCGAGCTTTGCCATGACGTACTGTCCATCAGGAAGGACAGCCTCAAGAGACAAAACTGCGCAATCAAAAGTCCCGAACTGGAAAGACGAAGATCCGAAAGTCGCAGTGGCAAAAGCGTCCGCTACAGTTGTGGCCCTCGAAGGAGCAATTACGGTGGGGATCAGCCCCTCTATCTTCGTCAATTGAACTAGCGCCTCCATGGTGACATTTGGCTCGACCGAAGCGATGAATCTGTCTCGATCAATCTCTACTACCTGGTTGAGGCCCAAGAGCTGACTGGGGGCACTACAGGGTACTTTCTGCGCAAGACTGAGGCCTACTTGATCCCGAGTAGCCTGCCTCATACTCTCACATATCGCGTGAACGGCTCGTCGATGCCTTCCCCATAGCTCGTCATTGTACTCCATTGTAGTAAGGGATAGCATCTGTGACGGCTGGGCTTGTACGAGTAAGGAAGCGACGAACCTGAGCACGCTTGCAGTGAGTGCGCGGCGAGAGCAAGATAAGAACACAGTCAGTAAACGAGGACATGATCACCTACGGATCTTCTCGCTCATGCCATTAGCCCTGGGTAAGCTCCATCAAGGTTTTGGCAGGACTTTGGATCGCTCGTTCATTGTGACCGTGAGGGAAGGAGACGACGTGGTCACACAGCCAGCATCTATCCCATCGCGTGTACTGAATGCTAGTCGCACGGCAGGCCTGTCTTATCGACTCCTTTCCGCTACGCATATACCGGCCATTCGACATTCCTCAGCAGGTTCATTGGCGATGAGAAAGTCCAGGACTGCTTATAGTGAGAACCATTCATAACCGTACATCCCCTGCACGGCGCTAGTACCTGTCAGGGAAGTAACGACTATGCGCTTTGAACAAATGATGTGCGCGAACCGGAAACCAATTTTGGTCAGCACTGTACCACTGTAGGTATCGCGGGCTTATCCACAAAAACATGATTTTCCACTGCTTCACGCATGGTCTCTCTCCCGAGTGCTCGGCTTCAGTGGATGCGCTGGCCTACAATCATTAGCGATTGCGGCTTCACCCCTCCACGCAGATGCGCAACGGTTTTGCATAGCCCCACCTTCTGTATATGGCTTAGCGCTAGATGTTCGCTGCAGAGTAGTCTATGTGATTGGTCATTCTCCATCTAATGATGACTGCACTTTAGAATACACTCTCATGCAGTTTCCGCTTTTTGCATGCTGCCTGGCTTTCATCCCACACGATCTACCGTCTCGATTCGTGAGTGCTTGCCCAAAACATCTTAGATTCTGTAAGCGTCTGATTTCAATTGGCTAGGAGATACTGTTGTCTCTACAAAAGGAACTGCTGACAAGAGCTAGCGCTCTTCGGTCATTAGGCGAGAGTGGGATGAAAGATTGATTGCTTGCAAGAACCGGAAACTGCAAGTGCATGAGAGTTTACGGAGTCATTGCACAGTTCCATGCAAGGTCTAATCTCTCCTTGTCATTATCACTCTAACTATGCGACAGAACATACTGTGTGTGCGGAAGCAGTCGTCTCCACTTGCTTCTGTTACCGTGATCGTTGTTTGGAAACCCCCAGAGTAGCTGTGTAATTGTGCGTTGAATCCATTCTTAGAGCCGTCCCTGCACCTGCAGCCTCTTTCGCAGCGCATGATGGACGAGTCGATGAACATTGAGTGCTGACTCAGCAGGTCGCCCCGTGGCGAACACATACCTGTCAAGTACTTTGATGGCATCTTCACTGGCCCGTGGCGAAGCTGCCTTTAGAAGATCGAGCGGGATGTCATTTAGATCTACGCATGCAGCAAGCAAGAAATAGTCTGCAGCGATCGCATTAACATGGCGGACTTGGCTGATAGAGAGAAATAGTGTAGCAGTCACAGTGATTTCCAGACCAGATCCCCGCAGCTTGCCTTCAGACGAGTCATCGCTGTACTCGAGAGCTGCTTTTTTGTGCTCAGGTAGCTGTGCTTGGTGCTGCTGCAACGTCATACTACTAGCGTTCATGCACGCTGCCGCTTGCACGACTATTGATAGCGTAGTAGTGGTCTGGTCGTAGCTAAAAAGCTTTGCTTCGAGTTCGGCGAGCTGTGATTCACAAACCACGAAAGACTCGTTTTGTGAGAATGGAATGACTGATGGTGCGCTGCCGCTTGCCTCTATCCCGGCCTGCAGTCTCCTTCGTGCAGTCTCCTGTCCGTCGCCATACGTAAAGGGCATCGAGATGCCAAGAACTCCAAGCAGGCAGTACACGATGTCTTCTTCTTCTGTTGTTATGCGATTCTCAACCCACCGCCTTGTTCACATGTGCTGAACTGGTCTAAAGGACAGTTTCACAGTGCCGCGAACGGAATGCTGGTAACATCGTGTAGTAGTCGATCAAGTGATACTTTGTCACCTACTTGCTGTCCTTCGCGCAAGAGGAACTCGACTAACACTGGCGGGATCAGCTCCTGGAGCCTCCAACTTCTAGTGAACCAATCGCTCCCCCAAAAAGATGCCTCCTAGCTGCTGCGCTGGAACACCTCTGTCGCAGAAGATACTGAGACATCTGACAGAAACACGTAGCATCGGACCGCATTCCGGTACCACTGAAACATTGAGTTGATCGCCTTCGAGCACTCGTTGTAGACCCACCTGTCAATGCAGCATATGTCGATCTAGAAGTACTGCAGCCCGTCCCGAGCCGCCTGTTCGGCGCAGAACCTGAGCTTCCAGTAGCCTTCTTCTTTCTCTCTGTAGTTTCCATTTGATATGTCTTCGATAAGAGTTTCGAAGGCGCTCCATCGGTGCGATAGGATAGCGTAGGGCGGGATCGGCTTGCCGCGAAAGTCTATCAAGATCAGTCTGCCCAGCGCGTCAAAATGGAGAAGCCGCATGGCGCTTGCAGCTTGGGGTTTGTCCTTGGGTAATTAGAGGCGCAAACGACTTTTGTGGTAGTGAGATTAGAATAATATAGTTGCGACAAGGCAGTGAAGGCAGCCTGGCGAGGCAGTGCATGCAACCAGGCAGAAAGTGCTGCTGGCTACATCAAGCGCCCAGCATCCTGTGCCGCCTCGCCTCACCATCTGCGCTGAGGTAGTGTTTGCCTTGTGAACTCAAGTTAGAGGAGTGCACAAGTGGGCAAGGTGCCAGCAGATAGAATAGATTTACAAAGGTTGTCGTTGTAGCGTCTCGCATGGTTCTTTGCGACGGGGACGAGCAGGACTAGGGAAATGGCTGCCTGCACAGCCGGATATAAGAGCTGTCTAAGGCCTGGCAATTAGTGGGGGCCGTCCCAGCCACGGCGCACAGTGCGGCTCTTAGACATCTCAGCACTCGAGGAATACGAACCTCTTTGACACCGAGCGCTGACCCAACCTGCTATTGCATCCTTATCCAACAAAAGCATCTGCACATCTAATCCATTCGGCGATGCCTGAACGTTAAGAAACATGTCTAAGTCATATTTAGCGGTTCGGAGAAAGATGAGGCCTGCGACTGAGGGCGAGTCATCAGCGTAGCTTGTCGGCAAGATCTATCACTAGCCTGGTGATCTGAACGAAATTCGTAAGCTGTGAAAATGCAGATAAGAGCATCACGCGCAGAGTGTAGTGTGCCTTCCAAACCTACCCCAACTGCAAATCACTGAACTGGGAAATGTAGACGGAGTAACTACTATTGTTATGAAATTCAT